AGATAATAGTATCACCTACAACTTATATTCGAAGTATTTGTCGAAATTCCGCGAAAAAAAAATTTTCGATTTTTCCGAGATTTTTCCAAGGTACCCCTTCAATTTCTTCCAAATTTTCGTTTTTTACCAATAACTCCTAAACCATTAGACTTACGAGAAAATTGCATCAGACCTTTCTTGTAGAGGACGACGAGATCTACAATTTCCATGTAAAAGTTTCTTGCTAGCGTCAATAGTTAACGAGTAATTTGCAAAAACTGTTTTTTCGTTTTTCGTCAATAACTCGTAAACTATTAATGCTAGCGACAAATTTTTATACAGAAATTGTAGATCTCGTCGTCCTCTACAAGAAAGGTCCTATGCAATTTTCTCGTATCTCCAAGAGTTTAGGAGTTATTGAGGAAAAACGAAATTTTTTTCCAAAAGTTCGCCGTTTCGACGCTGGGATGGTCGGATTCTGTCAACATCAATAAAATGCCAAATAATCATAATTAACTCATTAAATATCGAAAATAGAAGACAAGTGCACTATTTTTAATTGTAGGAAATGCGTTTTTCTAAGGTACATAAATTTTTGGTATTGACTGTATAGCCAATACATCCTTAAATCGACACCGCGAGTGCGTTGTTTTATATAAAGATCCCCGGTCGTATCGCAAGAGAAGCTGGTAACAGATTACAAATAAGCTTACTTTTTCCTTCTACTTCAACGAAGCTACGAGAACCGGATAACGGGCGGTAATAATAGAAAGGAATCCCGTCGGCGATCATTCTCGAGCTAACTAGAAAAAAAAGGGGGAAAAGGATCAAAGGAGGGACATAGTGTTCTAATTAGAACGTTAATGGTACTCCGGTCCTCGTTATCGGTGGGCATCGGCTGGAATAAAAGAAACGTTGCACGCCACAAGAGGGTGGGTGCCTCCTGAGATTACGCAGGTCAGGGCGACGAACTGGACGCGTGGGCAGCAGCTCATCCATCTATTCAGCCAATTTCGATCGCGTCAGAGATTAACCGAAGAATGAGACAAGGACGTTGCGTAATCCGACCAGAACGAACTGGATACGGTAAACGATTTCTAAATGTGACACCAAACAAATTTAGAAGTCGCTCGGAATATGTAATCGCCTACCATGTATAGAACGTACAATCACGTGCCGAAATTCGGGCACGAGTCGAAGTTCGAGAGGTTATTGTTTGTCGCAAGACTACTATCGGACGAGGCTAGATCGTTTTTATCAATCGGCCAGAATTGAAAGAATCGCGAGAGCCACCGATTAATCAGCATTGAAGGCCGAACGGTTGAAACGCGCGACACCCACTTGTGTTTGCGGCGAGCGTAACGCTCTTACATAAATTAACTATCGATAAAAGCATACAGGAAAATGAGACGATCGATCTAAATCGGGATAAATAAAATTTGTCACGTTTCGCATTTATCGTCGATAGATATGATCGATGTATCAGGGGATACAATTAGACTCGTACAGCATCAGAGGCTGACCGAAAGCAAAAGGAATCGTCAATAAGGAAGACGGGAGGAGGCGAACGCCGGAGTGTGAATTTAATAATACGACGGCGTCTATAAAAAGCGTTCGTCTCAAAGAGACTACTGTTCTTAGCGAGGGAATCAGAAATGTCCCGAGAATCTTGAAATAAATCGATTTTACGACACGGTCGTCCTGCGATCGAATCATCTGACCCGGCGGGGGATGATGATCGATGCTCGCAACAGGTCGGGAGTATTTCATCAGAAGCTGCTCTAATTTTGTCTCGAATCTCGAGATAAGGAACAAATATGTACGCGAGCGAAAAATCGAAAAGGGTGGGAGGAGAACAAACGATAGTACGATCGTTGGAGACACGATTATTGTTAACGGCGGGGTAAACAAAATCCGAAACGATGTTCAGATGAGTCCCGATGCTCGAGGGAATCGTGACCCTCGACATCGAGGTCGCTCTAATCGAAACAGCGCACTCCTCCGCTCGCGCTAACGAGCCTCGGTTACATCGTTTATCTATCTGCGTTTACTTACATACGCTTACATGTATGTAAAACGTTTTTTACGCTCGACACCCGCCAATCGTGAGGACTGCCTCCGAACCCGACGTAGCTGGTTTCCTTATCGTCGTATCCAGTTGCTAATCTCCAAGCCGGATAAACAGATGACATTATAAACGCGAACGTTTTCGGAGCGGCACGATATTACATCTATGAAACGTGCGCACGTGTCGTCAAATCCGATTCCCTAATCCCATTTTTTTTTTTTATCATAAAATTCCTATTTTATTTCTGAAATGCGTTCCTGCGACGAAGTACCCTTATCAATATTTATGAGATTGAGATACTGGCTGCTTGCGAGATGCATTTAAAAACGTACATGTGAATAATTTTCAACAGAACATTTTATAGAAAATTGATCCTGACACATGCAA